ACGACTAAATAATGACTAACTTCAGCCAGTGTGTTAGACCTAGGAAAGATGATTCCTTCTTCATTTACTTATGCTTATTTAAGAAAAAGCATATTGAAGATTGAAATAAAAGACTACACCTGGGGACACACTGGAAGTTTATAGCCTTGTATGTTCTGAATGGATGCAAGATAGAGGAGTATTTTATTAGGTGTGAAAGTAGAAAATGTTGAACCTCCAGGAAATCTTCTTGACACTAAGATCTATTAGGAATTGTCTTCTAAAGGAAATAGAGGAAGCCCTATTTCCTGGGATAATTCAAATTGTACTTCAAAAAATAGTAAATATATACAAAGAACATCCTGCATTTAGATGAAAATTAAGCAGATGAAAATCTTTTCTATGTTCAGGCTGGACAAGTCCCAGACTCCTCCTCTCTTCTCACATGTATACACAGACAAAAGCACAATTAAAACATGCAAAAAGATAAAAGGATGAAACTCTGGAAATAATATCATTATGGTCCTATTCTCAAAGTTTCTTTTAGTAAAATACATGTAACTTTTTTATTTATAGCATTTTACTGAGAAGTACCAATCAAGGAAATACAGTAAATTAACTATCAAATGTTTACAAGTGCACATCACAGCACATAAACTGCTGCATACCTCAGCTGCAATGACATCCAGTTTTAAAATCCTCTATTTCAAATGTGAGATGGGAGGGGAATATGCTTTATAAAGCAAAGCAGCCAGTCCAGGAAAACTGCAATTGAAGAGTCCCTCTCCAGAGCACAGCGATCCTTCTGCTCAGTCACCCACAACTTCCAAGTCCCCTAAGATATAAACTAGCGCTATGATTTAGTTATATAGCAGCAAACCTTAATTGCCTCTCTAAGTTAAAAGAGAGAGGTTTTATACTAACATTCTGAAGTAGCTAAGGAAGATAAGGAATTTGGGATTCCTAGCTCCCTGAAATGACTATTATCTGTTCGTGACAATTAAGTCATGTTTGCTCAGCTATAGTTAAGATGTAAATGTGTTGGCTTTTCTATCTCCACTATTTCAAAACAAATTTAGATTTGTTCCACACATGCTGTCAAATGGTAGCGAAATTTATATAGTGTTCATGTTCCACATGTCCCACAAAACTGCATTCTCAGTTTTCTAGCTCAGTTACAGAAAGAATCATATCTGAAGTACACTAAAGAATATACACATTCTATCCAAAAAGGTAAACAAAATGACTGAAAAAATGGGAGACTAGGGCAAAGAGTACTAGCTTCAGTGAGCAAAGGAAGCAATAAACAGGAGATTAAAAGAGAGTGAATTACAGATTTAAGAAAGGAAAAAAGCATTTTAGAGATTATTTGTCTGATTAACAGGCTTTGGAACAATTCCAACTCCCAAGTGATGCACATATTTCAGTATCAAAGTAAATAATAATAAACAAGATTTCAATCTCTGCAGGTTTTAAGGTAAGTCTGAGATCGTGAAACTTACAGAGGCTGAAAGCCAGGCCCAGAGCCTGTTAGTTAATCAGGCCAGGTTGCTCAGGGCTGGTCTTGAAAACCTCCGTGAAAAGATGCTGCAAAACCACCTTGGGCAACTCGTTCCAGAGCTTTACTGTCCTATCACAGAAAACTATTAACTGGGCATTAAAACCAAACAAGTATATATGTTCAAAAAGAAACTGTTGTGCTTTTCTCTGTGCTTATCCAATTAGACATAAGTGATGCCTTGCACAATTTTGATGCTATTAACAGAAAATGGCAAAATCATTTAAGACAATCTCACCCTCTGTGATTTCATGAAGCAAGTCTTTCTTTAGTTTAATTCCCTTTTGACTTCCTATCGTTATGAAATGTAATAGTCATATTTTCTATACCATATTGTAAAATTACAGCTCTAAGCAGTATTACAAGGAGGACAGATCCACATAATTTAGCCTGACTACTTGGTAGCAAACGAATTAAAACTGCTTTCAGCATACACTTTTTCAGTCGTGCTATATAAGGGTAAACCAATGTTTTTGCTGCAGTTATGAGACAATCATATAAGACTGTCATTATTTAAGTTACACAAGGAAAACAGAATACAAAGTAGAATTAAAATAAATTCACAGTTACAGTGTACTTCCTTCGAAAGGAAAACTTGCAGCGTAACACCTGCACACGCAGCCTGTAGCTTCCCTTACCACTACTGGGTTATGCAAGGGAGAACCAAGTTAAACCATGGCCAAAAAAAAAGGACGAAGGCAGAACAAGACTTCTGGATTCCTCAAGAAGAACTAACTGTGGCAAAGAAACCTTTAAACAGTCTGAAACAATCTCCCTCAATAATTTAAATTATGGACGTTTCCCGTAACTGTAGTGTACAAATGATCACTCGCTGTCGCCTCAGTTGTCTACGTCTCTATGGTGTCCCCAAGGTTTGCTCTGCCCAAGCAGAATATAATACAATAAATCAACTAAGTTTTATTTAGCGAACCAAGAGGCATAAGGCTGAGCTGGTTTCAAGTTTTCAGTCCTATGGAATTATAGGGTCACTAAACCTAAAATGTGACATTTTTGTTCACTCCCGTGGAGAGTTTGGAATGGCAAATATCCCATGTTTAGGCAGCTGTGTCCCACCCTAGGTAATATGCAAGAATCTTGTTCCTTAATACGCAAGATGAGGCAGAATTTTTTGGTAATAGGAAAATTTTCCACTTCAGGCTTTGTAATCACATTACACAGAAAATAGTATGTATAACTACTACATTTTGTGATGCTGTGTTAAAATGTAAATGTGTTGATGTGTTTTTTTTGTAGTGGAGTTTAGTAACTGGAAACTCAACAATGTTATTCTTAAATAATTATTAAAATTAAAGCTGAATTGATTAACTGCTAAAGGCCTACTTCCCATAGCCTGAAAAACATACTCTTTCTCACAAATATGTGTAGCTTCTGATGAGACTGGCCCAAATTATTTTCAAGTTATCGCTGGTTCATAAAGATCCTTCCACTCTTACATTTCCCTTTGTCTGAAGGACAGTTAAATGCAACATAAATAGTTACACTGGAAATACTTTTAAATGAGGTCTTTTAACTATCTTCTGAATTTACAAGACAAAACCAAAAAAAATGGTCTAAATATGCTGATTCAGCTTCCACATAAGAAAAAGAAACTACCCGTGGTTGGGTCATTTTATCTCTGCTTCAAAATAAGGGAAAATCAAGCAAAGAGAGTGGCAGTAACAGCTGGAACCATGTGCCTGTGCCCAAACACAATTTATTCATAAAACTTGAGGAGAATGTAGCACAGCTGCAGAGCAATTATGGGGAGGGGGAAAAAAAAGATAAAGAAAAATCCATAAGCCCATCAGAACTGATGAATAATGATACCACCAAGGAAATAAGATCTGTCAGTGCAGTTAGAAACACTCAAGCTTAACAAGTGTGTTTTTTTTAGAGACTGAATTTTCACATTATAAGTGTTAGTTGCTATGGATGCTGGGTTTTACTTCTGATACTACTTCTGTCCTGGCTACTGGAATACTTCCTCCTTTAAAAAACTCCACATTTTAAATGTCTTTAAAATATGAACATTGGAAAGATGTCTGACACTTCTGAAGAGGTATGGTGGGTGAGTGAATACACTGATGTCCAAAGCAGCCTAATCGCAAATATATTACACTTCTTTAAATTCAGAAGCTGCCATCTACTCTCTATTTTCATCAGTCTGAATATTGCCAGAATGGCAGTATCTCTCATTCTTCATCTTTATGATATATAAATCCAGCAGAAAAGTTTTTCTGCACCTTTTTCAGACAATGGGTTGAAGCACAGAGAAATTATCTATGATCCAAGAAAAGACTCGTCTTTGACGTCGCCTAATCCAAATTAGCAAAAATTAGTGAAAAAGCAGTAACCAGCCTACCATGGTTAAGAACTGAAGTTACAACCATAAACTAGCACCACTGTTACTTTAATTCCTGTTAGGCAAGCCAGTAATAGGCTCCTCCTTCCACTTGGCCCTCAACACAGACTTACTTGCCTTTGATGACCTGAGCAGACCTGCTTTTCTCAAGTCATACAGGAAGATGAGGTTGCATCATCTAGAGCCACCCAATGCTGGCATTCTGTCAGCCACAACAGCCTGCCACAATGCCAGTTTAACTCCCACTTTCAAACATAAGCTATTGAACTATTTCTGACCACTACAGAAAATACTCAATTAGGATAAATTACTTCAAGCTCCATTTCTGGTAGTCACTGGTGAAGAACAAGGAAAGGCTTATCCTGGAATTTAGTCTCAGAAACATTTCATGGCTGTCAGGAGACTAAGAATGTGCTCAGGACAACACACTAGTACATCAAGCAAAGGGACTGAACTGTCAGAGGTAAATGGACCTGCATTCAGCTCAGGCCTTGGCAGTCAAGTCATTTCTCTCCAAGTTAGATGTGTACAGGAGACAGAACTCATATTGACTACTGTCTAGGTACACAAAACTATGTGAATTAAAATTAACTTTTAAATTAGCCATAATTTATAGTGTAGGAAATGTTATGTTTTGCTATTACAGTAAATTTAGGTTAATAGGAAAACAGTATGTACTTGCGATCAACACAATGTTTCCATAAAAGTGCATTTGAAATGCAGAAAAAGCAATAATTAAGTACTATAAATACGTACACATCATCTCATCATCCATTTCATACTATATAAACAGATATTTACTAGTAGTACCATAAAAATAACATAGCAGCAAACACTATTGAAGTCCAGCAGCTATTGTTCTGTTGGGCTTCATCAGTAAATCTTCTCTTAAGGGAAAAAAAACCTCTAAAAGAAGCACTGATGGCACTCAGTAACACACATAAAAACTCCTTGTTCTTATGCAATTACATAGGAGAAAATTAAGAATTATATTAACAAAAGAGTTAAGGAAGACCCTCAGCACAAAGCTCTACTTGGCTGGCCATGTATCAAATTTTCAAACCAAATAAATAAATAAAAAACATGGGCAGAATAATTTACCTTTTCACCTTCTTCGCCTTTACTACCCGCAAAGCCACGTTCCCCCTGGAACACAGAACAATAAAATACAAATCTCAAACATAAATGCTGTTGAATTAATTTTATTCTTTAAAATAACTTTATTGCAATGAACATTTATTATGAGATAAAAACAAAAGAAATAACTCAGATGCCGATTGTTTCTCATTCAAAAAGGTGTGAAATCTCCACCAAAAAAATGACATGGCTTTTCATAGTTTTGTCAATTCCGAGCAGTCATTGATTTTTCCATTTAGCCTAAGGGATCTTGTCAGATTTAAAAATTCTGAACTATTAACTGATTCTAAACCTGCTCATTATAGTCCTTCTATTCTTCTGCAGAACCAATTTCAATACATTTATTCCTATTAATGCCTTCATTTTAATTTTTAAATATAACTAGTCAGCTATGAAGGCCTCCAACCCAGATCAATATAAAGATACAATTTATGAAAAGAAAACTAACTTCTTTCCCTTTGAAAACCATATCTAACTACCCAAATATTAAAAACAAAACACAAAAAATCCCCCCAAGAAAACACAGAAGAGGTGAGTTTTAAAATATTAATTCAAGCTCAGCTTATTTCAGCATATTAAATTCTTTATTTGATAATATTTCAATAAAAAGACTTGATATAATGCTCTTTCCAGATCCAATTTCCTAACTTTCAGCTCAGAAACGGATCATAATGCACAATCTTACTACATTCATGTCTTCATCAAATAGTCTGCAGTCTGTCTATATTATACAAGAATAACACATGCTTTAGGTTTTTATTAATATATACTTGCATATTATTTGAGACATACAGCAAACGGACAAGCAAAATTATATACGGGCAGCACAAAAACTACCTAATTAAAAAAACCCAATTGATCTTTCTCCCTTAAATCATCTAGCAGGCATGGTTTTCATGTCTTTGCCATGTCTTCCTTAGACTTCAGTCTCATCGCCTCAGTACAACATAAATGGTTTTTACAGGTCTGTAGATGAAAAGAGTAGAAAATTTCCAAAGTAAAAGCTAATGGTGTCTTTTAAAATTCCTTTCAAAAATTAGAAAGAGCAATGTCTAAACATCCTTTTACCCTTCAGAGAGCGTAATTTCCTTAAATAGAAGTCTGAGGTTTAAGTGAATTTAACTGGAACAGTTAAATTTCTAGCAGCAGTTTGTCAGATCTTTCAACTGATATAGCGTCATGTACTAACATCTGAGATTTAAATTTAAAGCTTTGGAGGTGTGCAGATGTATAGATTATCAAGCAGTTCTGGACCTTTCATTAACTACCTACAGTGGCTGCTTTAAGCATGCAAAATGGTATTTATTGAAATAAGCTTCCACATGTCCTCACCTAAAAATGAGAGTCTAATAACTGAAATAATTTCCAAATGTATACAACTTCTGTTCTGTTCTTCTAGTTTCCTTTTCTTTTGAAAGACTGGACCAGATGTTCTTTTGAAGTCACTTCCAACCTGGGTAGTTCTATGATTACCATTCTTCTTCAACCTTTGGACATATAACAGAGCTAACACTCACTTTTGCCAAATTCCTAGAATGTTTTCTTCATTTAGCTTTCCCATTTGTGAGACTGCATATCCTGTATTTACTCAATCCCAAATTCATTATATAAAAATTATTCTTAGATAGAATCAAAGTTTCTCTGACTAGCTTGTGTTCATTGCCTCTCATTCTTTCACTGTATACCTGGTCTAGTCTGGCTCTGGCTTGTCCACATCCTACCAGTAGTTACAGAGAGCAATCAGTCTGCACACCACGCCCCACCCTCCCACTTTTCAAAACATCTCAAAGCTGAACAAGCCCACTTCCCTCCCCCTGCCCTTGCACAGCACGGGCTCCAAGCCGCTGGCCATCTTGGTGGGCCTCCACTCGACTCACCTAATGAGGTGCTGTTTATCCTCTCCTGGGGAGCTGCAAATTGGAAACAGATCTCCAGATGCGGTCTCACAAGCACTAATCACTTCTCTTGATCTGCTGGCCATGGACTTGCTAAGGCAGCCCAAGATGCCTTTGGCCTTAACCAAAATAAGGGCATCCAGCAGGACTCCCAACTCTTTTTCTGTACAGCTGCTTTCTAGAAATTTGGCACCTAAACCTGTGTTGCACTACTGCATGAGGCTATTCTTTCTCAGAGGCAGGACCTTATGTTTGCCTTTGCTTAACTTCTTGAGTTCTGCACTACCTCATTTCTACAGCATATTGAGGTCACACTGAATACCATTCTTGCCATACCTTCCAGTGCACTACTGTATCCTCACATCTGATAACATCCATGAACTTGCTGAGAATGCCATCATCCAGGTTATTAATAAAGACATTAAATAATACTGTCCCCAGTATCACCCCATGAGGTATGGCTCTAGATACTAGGTTGCAGTCGGACTGCAGACCAGCTATTCCACCTTTGATCCCAACAATCCAACCAGTCTTCCATCCACACTGTTGTCCATTTATCCAGTCAGAACCTCATACATTCAAGTATAATAATACATCTGGATACTGAGCCAAAAGCCTGGCTGGAATCAAGAGCATCCACTGCTCTCCCCCGATCCACACTGATGGTCAGTTTATAACAGCAGGCAATCAGGTTGGTCAGCACGATTTGTCCTTGGTAAATACACACTGGCTGTTCAGTCACCTTCTAGTTCTTCTTGTGTTTAGAAATGCCTTCCAGGATTTGCTACATAATTTTCACAAGGACAGAGGTGAGGGTGACTGTCCCACAGTTCACTGGATCCTTCTTGAAGATGAAAGTGATGTTTGCTTGTTTCCAGTCATCAGTGACCTCCTCTAGCTATCATTATTTTTTGATAATGACAGAGGGCAGCCCTTCAGTGACAGCCAGCACCCTTGGACGCATACTGGTTGGTATCTTGAAAATGTCCAAGTAGCTTAAGTGCTTCTTAACACACCCTTCAACTTCAGTGGGCAATGGTTCATTATCACACTCTCTGCTAGGAGGCTTAACTAACCTGGGAGGTCTGAGGGTAAGCTTTAGGGGAAAAAACAAGGTAAAAAAAAAAAAAGAATTGGGTATTGTCAGCCTTTTCCATGTCCCTCATTAAGCAGCATGTCAAAATTTTCTTCACCCTTGTTTTTGCCATGGATGCACTTAACAGAAGCCCTTCATGCTGCCCTTAAACTCTCTCAATAGTTTTAATTCCAGATGAGTTTCTGGTTTCCTAACCCCATCACCACATGCTCTGGCAATGTTTCTATGTTCCTACTGAGCAGCTCACCCCTGCTTCCATAGTTTACTTTGTGTCTGAGGTCAGTCAGAAGCAACTTGTTCATCCACGCTGGCCTTCTGCCATACTCACTCAACTCTCCACATAACAGCATGAACTGTTCTTGGGGTTTTAGGAAGCTGTCCTTGAAGATTAACCAGCTGGGCTCCTAAGGTTTGCAGGACAGTTTCAATCACTCCTTGGCTTCCTCTCTGCCAGACTCAGAAAACTTTGCTCCTTGAAACTCTCCTCAAAGGTCTTGTTTTCTAGGCCCTTGACATAAATTAATTCCTTGTTGGAGCCTCTCTGGTTTCTCCACATCTCCTATGGAATTGAGATTAGAGGAAGCCCAAAACATGACACAGCACATCAGATGCAGCACCATCAAGCATCTGCTACCTGCAGTTTTACTAACATAGACCTATAATTGGTTTACTTTATTCCAGTTGGAGAACAATGTTAGCTCATAGTTCAGTCTCATGTCTACCTCCACATCATTTTCAGCAATGCTGCTGCTCAACCAGTCAGCTCTCTGCCTGTGTCAATGGTAGTGATTAACTAAATCCTTATGTTTCAGAAACACAGTCCAGATTTTTTTGCACATATTTCAATTTAGAAAAAAAAAATATTACCAGTTAGAGAAAATAAGAAATATAATCAACAAAGCATAGATAAAGAAGTTTAGGTAATTTCCCCTTGACAGCATAAAAAATACAACAATATTAGCCACTGGTAATTTGCTTCAAATAATTCAAATGCTGTAGATATAAAAATGTGAAATTTGAAAAATAATACATTTATGACTGATTTAAGTTCTCCTTTCTGTGGTAAAATTCTCATTAAGTTAGGTAAAATATTTTACACAAGTTTTTTCATGGACCAATCACTGAATGCTCATCTTGATACTCACTGCAGGATTGCTCAGCTGATTTTCAGTGTTTTAAATATGCTTGCATATTTAAAGTCAATGAGATCCTGTCTTTGAATATATAAACTGATAGACTGTTGTAAGCTTGTTTCTGAACAAAATGCTGGCTACCTCATCTGCAGAAAGTTCCTTCCTTTCCCTTGTGCAATATTACAGGAAGTATATGCCCAAAAGATACACAAATTGCATCCAGGTCATGCCTCAGAACACTTTCTAGAAATTTTAATAATAACAAAATAATGGGGGCTTTGTGTAGTCTTAACTTGTTGAAGCAGCAGAACTATTTCCCCTAGAATTTGCTAAAAGGAATTAGCTGGACAGACATTTAAATTTAATTCCAAATAACTGCTGTTAAAAACAGCTGCAATCAACAGAAAACAAAATCTGACCCTGAAAAGAGGCCACTCTAATAAATATTATCAGTGAGGTCTATAATACAGATGTCTCCTTTTGCAAGTTCTGGCCTTCCTATAATACTCCACTTCTGGAAAATAGCAAAAAGATTAAAATGGAAGAGTGGAAGAAGCAGTGTCGTCTCATTTTGCTGAGATTCCAAGACTCTCAAACGTCAAATTTTTTAATCTACAATACTGTGCTTGGAAAGAGCTGCACATTTTGGAGACTTAGGCAGCTGCTCTTCATGCAAAATATTACTGCTAGGCAGGTTTGTACCACAGCACCACATGCCCTTTCTCTTTTCAAAAGAGAAGCCAGTAGTAAAGTTCCTCTGTCACATTATATAACTCAGAAACAGGATATGAAATTCAAGTACAATTTATGTAGATATTGGACAGCTGGCAAAAAGGAAGTTGAGATTTCAAATGGATAGAATTAAACTTTTGTTTGTTTGTTTGG